CTGCGAATAATGCATTCGGTGGTGGGAAGTGCTTCAAATCTTCTGACAGAAGCACTAACGCTACAGGCAGAATTGGGCAGCTCTACCAAGATAAGAGACATCTTCATACTTGTTGCTGCGAGAACCTTAAATCTTACACAATGATACAGAACCGTCCCACGTCCTCACGTGCGTGAATACGGAGCAGTAGTTCTAATGCTAATATTTTTCAATTTGCACAACAATTATGTGTAACTTGCATCAAATAAATCTGTCGGTGCAGAAAACAAGAGCCGAACAGTCCCCACTACTCAGCCTCTTCCGCTGTTTCATCTCCAGAGATGATACAGTCAGTCCACCGTTGTGGATATATCCCTTTATATTCATTAACAAAAATTCTGCACTGTTCATTATGATCATTTCTTGCGTAATATTCTTCCAGTTATCAGGGGTTCAGTAATAATTCAAAGACTGCTAATAGGTTCCTTCATCTAACTTCCTCTCACACACATTGCAACAGATTTATCTGCGTAATACAAAAGGCCTCACTTAATATTCTGCCTTCGTCAACAAACACTCTAATATTACTTATTAATAATTCTTGTAATGTTTCTTAAATTTAATAATTACAATAACAGACTCTGGTCGTGTCTTATTTTGTGTCGGGCTCAGTTTTCCGCAGTCTCTGTTGAAAACTGATAATTTTGACGTCAGAGCCACAACTTGTAATTTTAAATTGCATTTCATTCTACTGGTTACTTCAAAAAACACAAACCCAACGAAAAAGTTCTAGAGGCAGAAGTATTAAAATTTAACAACTAATCCGCTAATTAGAATTCTCTTCATCGCCCCGATGACATCGACCAGACTACACGGCGCAAGAACCCAGAATACAGAAATCTTCATACTCGTCGCTGTGAGAACCTCGAATCTTACATATAAACATCAAGTCTCAGAAAGAGAGTAAAGTTACAAAGAACACACCTGGAAAACATGACCCAGTTCGCTTCGCTCCTCCGCCACGTACCTGTACGTAATTAGGCCCCAGTTCTCCATTGCTCCCGCAGCAAAATCTGGGAGGGCAATCATATCCATCTTGGGCAGAGGGAATGGAATCCCAAAATACTGCTCATAATAATGAAGAATCTTGGGCCCTATATTCAGACTGTATTCCGCCTGCTGGATCGCCTCGTGACGAGCCCAAACCGAGAAGTTTCCGTCCGACATGTGGTCAAAGTCAGACACGACGAACGCCACAAGGTACGTCGACATCGGCACAGACTGTCCATAATGATCCCACGTGTAGTCCGGCAAGTCTTTCCTGCAACGTGTTAAGATGGAAGTCGTTAAGTCTCGCTGCGCTCGGGCACTCCGAGGCAAAGCGTCTGCAATCAACAGTTCTCACATTCACTTGATAAAGATATTTCCTGTCCCTGAAACCATTAACCATTAACACAGAATCTTGCTACTTCAGCCCAGCAGCCACTGCGGCAGATGTAATTCTTTGCCGCCCCTTCAGAAGACAAGTGTCACGAATGCATCACATCCGCTAAGACAGAATTCATAACAACACCAGAAAATTACAGTCACAGCAAATATATTTTTAATTCTTTGCATTTGTTGTGGTTTTTCTTTGTCGCGGGTTGGATTTTTTGTTCAACAGCATTTTCTGATCTAATATAAGACTGAAAACATCCTAACGCAACTTTGCACTGCTGGATGCATCCGAAAGTCCAGTTTCTTGGTGAACCAGTACAGGTCAAGAGTTCATATCTTGTAGTGACCCTTGAAACACACCAACAAGTGGCAGCCCAAAGATCGGGTGTGCTTGGCCCCTCTTTAACAGGAGGAGCTGTTATTTTACAAGCAGCAAATCCACCCCACAATAAATTATGTATGCCCCATCTATAAGTCCACTTCTCGCAGCTTGGAGCTTAAATTCACAGAGGTTTGGGGATTCGACCGTTCACTGACCGCATCAGAGCACCGAGAGCTTTGACTCGGAGTCGACTGCTTCAGTAATTTGGGAGGCGGCTGGGCTGACCAATGGCTGCCTCTAAAATGAGAGTCACACTGACGCAGCGAGCAGCGGCTAATTACTCAGCTACCCCAAGGTTTTACGTGCTTTCCGCAGTTGCAAGGCAAATCAAAAGGGGTACGGCCTGTCTACCACAGTTATGGAGGCTTGCGTGGTGTTAAACGAGAAGCTCTTTCCAATGTTTTGCTTGAATTTGGTGTACGTAAGAACTAATCAGGCTAATTGAAACGTCTCTAAGTGAGCCCTCTAGCAAAATTCATGTAAGTAAACATTTGTCGTGAAACATGAAAAATGATGGTCTAATGTAAATCGAATATTTCGATAAAGAACATCATTTAATATTTTAAATGTTAAAATGTTAATTGTTGTAATATTTTAATATTTAATAAGAATTATTGTGATTAGACGGACAAGATTTAATATATATTTGTCAGATACATTTCCTGTTCAGAACAGCCTGAAACAGGGAGATGCTTTATCACCGCTGCTTTTTAATTTTGGCTTAGAATACGCCACCAGGAAAGTTTAAAAAAAATCAGGGCGGTTTGGAACTGAATGGGACACGTCATTTTTTGGTCTGTTCTGATGAAATTAATCTGCTGGGCGATAATACGAACACAGAAACACTCTTTAAGGGCAAGGAGGGATGACGGTCTAGAAATAAATGCAGAAAAGACCATTTGTGCTGAATGGGTGAGAAACTTGGTCTCCCACTTTGAGGGTCTTTGAGAAAAGGGTGTTGAAGAAGATATTTGAACCCAAAAGAAAAGAGGACGGATCATGGGCTCCTCGCCTGATATCGTTAGGGCCAATGAATTGAGGAGAATGAGGGGGCGGATCATGTGGCATGCATAAGGGGGAAGGGGTGTTTACAGGGGGGAGACCACCGGGAAGACCTAGATGTAGATGGACCTTTGGGAGTGAACTGGATGCAGCTGGCTCAGGATAGAGCCTGGTGGCAGACTTTTATGAACACAACGACAAACCTTCGGGTTCCGTAAATAAAGTGGGCGTCTTTGTCGAGCCGACGATCGACTTTTCAAAGAATTTCCTGCACCACAGACTTAGTGAGTGAGTGAGTGAGTGGGGGGCCTAGCAATGAAATCAAGGAATGGCCAATGACTCTCTGAGCAACTGTTGCAACTTCCAGGCCTTCTTTCGTAACAAAAGAGTCCGTGTTGATGAAAATGTAACCAGAACCACTCAAGATAACATTTTCCTCAGTAGCAAAAGCCCTGTTGACAGTCTCTCCTACGCATCAGCAGGGCCTTGCAGCTTTAAAACAAAAAGAATATGACGAGAGGAACGTGGAATATAGAACAGGAAAACTATCACCCCCTACCCTGTAGCATACACGGAGCAATAATTATCTTCTGTACAAAGACGCGTCCTACCATTTTCCACTTTATTTGTTTCTATTCATCTGACGCATTGCCATCCGCAGGTCACAGATGAGACCTGAAACTCACATTTGCTCGGATTCCCTCTCTTGGGGCATGTTCGATACAGAAGTCATGTTCCTGGGGCGAGCGATGCTGATCTGAAACTTCGCTTTCAAAGCCGGTTCGTCAAAACACGGGAACGCTCTGCGGGCATCCGTCGGCTGGAACTGCGTTGCCGCAATCCACCTGTAAAAACGTTCATTCCATAACTAAAATTAATGTCACAAAGGAAAAATTATCTTACGCTCGTTACACGGCCAGGATCCAGAAACAAATCCTGTCAGGTATTTTTGTAGCTGCAATTCAGGGTGACGCCTTATAAACTTGGCATTCGATATCTTTGTACCATTCCTCAAACACAGAAATAACTCCAGATGTTCTTACAACATAATTAAAGACGTCCTCCCAGACGCCTGTGGTGTGGTCACCTCCCCATGCCCTAGTTTGTACAATTATTAATCTGCAACTTAAAATAAAATGCTGTATCAATTGCAAAATTTAAAAAAAATATCAATAACATTTCTTATAATTAATTAATTCTTTATGGAAGAGTGAACAAAAAAAAAGCATTATTATTAACACAATCGAAATGTCAGCCATTGTCGCTCACTGAATATCCACACAGACTGAGATTCATTTCCCGGCTGAACGTCTTAATCCGGGCCCACAAAGAAATCGGTTTTAATAGCCGTCTGTCTACGTGTGTCTCAAACTGACGTGGGTTCGCAAGTTTCCACGTTAATCACGCGCACGACGTTCTTACCTTGTTTGGTTGTTGACAATGTACGAACTTCTGTAGAAACCTTGGAGCATATCATTGAGATGTCCGAGATACGACATGCTGACTCTGTACTGTTTGCCTTCTGACAAAGGTTGTCCAAGGTGAATGATGAAGAACTGTCTTGCTGTATCATTGCTCAGTCGATCCACCAAAATATGTTTTCCTTCTGTGCACACATAAGAACGTGGAATACGGTCAGAATAAATTACATAAATGTAAATCTGATTCTTCTTCATACAGTGCTGTGAGGCAAAGCTTTGAATATAAACACAGTATTACGTATTCACTGTATGATTATCAGTTATTTTTAAGCGACAACTATATAAGATTTATCACTCGCGTTTATTTTGTGGATATCACAGTTTCAATTGATTTTAAGCTTCAAACTTTGTCATATCCATTTCCCTGCTTTTTACAGTCAAGATACTAAAAAAATACTAAAATCTATGCAGCACCAACAAAAGCATCGAATAAAATAGCAAAATCTTGTATTAACTTGCGGTATAACATCGATTAGTCAGAACACATCACTAAATTGTTTTTGAAAACAGACGCTGTTATGTTTAAACGCTCCAACACTGTCTGCGAAAGTACTGAAAATGGCACTGCCAAGGACCCACCTATCCCGTCTTTGCAGGCAAGTGCGCGCGCACTGCTTGCACTCTGTGACAAATCATTTTAGCAGGATTGCCAAATTCAATGCGAGGAGCTCGTAAGGAGGTGGCGCGCCGCCTCCTAACGCAGACGCCATAATACAATTTTATTTTAAAAAACTGCCCAGTAGGTTTGGAGATCATAACGCACTGAATAAGTAACCAACTCCACAGAAAAGAATCGTCTTTGAGAATCTGACAGTTGGTACACTCTGCTAGGCAAGAAATTCCGCGCCTTTTGTGGATCTCAAAGTTTCATTGCTCTGTTCACAACCTGAGCCACATGACTGCAGTCCAGTCCCTACTACCCTATTTCGTAGACAACCATTTTAATATTATCCTCGTATGTATGCATCCTTCAGGATTACATCTTCCAGCCCGGCCCACCCATTACAAAGAATCCTCCAATACCCACAGTTCTACGAAACTTCTCACAACATGGCCGAATATCTACAATGAATCCTCATTGCCGCAACCTCGAAGCTGCAGGACCACCCCTTTTAGACTGTCCGCGACTGCTTATTCACAGCCGTGTTCATCTTATCCAAAAAATCAACACTGAAACCAAGAAGTGGGGCATCGAACGCCCTTCAACTTACCTGCAGGCCTGTGGCTTCCGTCTGCTACCGACTCGTGTTCTTCAACTGTTACGCTGTCCTCGTAAATCTTGATGTCATTAAAATGCAGCGTAATGTTTGACGTGGGTTCCGTCGCGTTCACAACAACCGACACCTTGCCACTGAAGGTAAAGTTCCCTTCGTGTATGAATGGAATGATCTCGATCTTGTACGAGTCTGGTTTCACGGCCCTGGGGAGACGGACGTCGAGTTTTGGGGCGTCGGACGGGGCCGCGGGGGGTGCGACGCCAGGTTCTGTTGGCAGCACTGGAACCGATGCCCTGCCGTTCTGCACTCCGTCTTTCGCGCATGCGCCGCCATGCTCGTTCTGAGTGCACGAGGCGAATTTGTACACGAGGAGTCCAGTGGCGACAATCGCAGTCAGAAACAAAGCCGCAATGAGCGCTATTCCCCAGCGACTCAACACGTAACCCTGACGCTTGCTGAAAGTCACAGTTGTCCCGTCCATCATGGCCAATGCCTCGCGGGACTGGGTCATAGCACGTCGTACCTGAAACAGCGAGAAGTCGCAGATGAGGGTCTGAAGATTTCTGCGTAAAGTCCACTCTGAACGGATACGTACACCGATTTGACAAACCATCGAAAGAGGTGGTTGTTGGAACAACCGTAAGAAACAGTGGTTTACACAAACGAACAACAAGTAACTACACGTACAGGGCAAAGATGAGAACAGAATTTGAAACGGAAGGCACTGATCTATAAGAAAATACGATTACACTTACTTAAGTAAAGAACCTATTTCAAACACTGTCACTTACAGTACGCGACTGTAATCTTGAGACTTGCAAGGAATGCAGGAAGCCCGAAGCCTTCCTCCTTCACCCCACGTCCTCTCCCCGCAAGTCTCAAGATTACAGTCGCGCACTGTACACGAATCTCGTGGACACTTTAATTAACTTTTCGGTTGGAAATACGCCAGCAGTTGAATGAGTGTGCATCAGCTCTGGATGTGTCCACACGAGGCATTCGCGAAAAAAAAATTAATTTCCGATGGAGCAGTAATTAAAATTTCTATCCAATTTGTTAAACCTAACGGCACAGAATACACGAATTCTGGAAATACCAATTTACAAGCAAGAATCGATATTGTGCATGTGCTCACGCGTCATTGGTCCCGATGATGATGATGAACTTGGCACTAGGAAACCTCTCCCGCCTCTATCTGCTTTTAAAGTAGTTACTAAGAGCAGGCCACCGCTGAGCTAAACGTGTGCATTTTAAACCAAATTAGGTATCGCCGTGCCTTTAAAACCGCTAAACGCTAAACACCCGCCCACCCACTTAAATTACAGGAGAACAGGAGTTCTTGAAGAAATTCTCCGCGTCTCGTTGAAACTGGATATTCATTATGATGTTCACAGCACCCCACATCCTAATTCACTCGGCACCCCCAAACCAAATTTACAACAAGATTCATTTTAGTATTATATTCCCATAAAACGACTAGGCTTCCCAAGTGCCATCTTGCCTTAAGGCTCCGTCGCCAACATTTTGTAGGCATTACTTATTTCCCCCTTCTAAACTCCAAACTCTGATCTCCCTTCACGGTGAAGCTCCTCATTACGTGATTTTCTCCTGTCACTTACCCCCCCCCTCCAAATAGAAATTATCTTCACAGCACTGATCTCATACGCTCTCAATTTGTGTTCTTCTGTTTCAGTGAGACGCCAAGTTTAAAAAAACCGCTTTGTACATTTTAATCGTCACGTTTCTGCAAAGCAGACGACAAAACACGAGACACGTAACTTCAAAGATTAGGTTAGGTTAGGTTAGGTTGGGTTGGGTTAGGTTAGGTTAGGTTAGTTTAGGTTAGTTTGAGTTAGGTTAGGTTAGGTTAGTTTGGGTTAGGAGTTAGGTTAGGTTGTTTGGGTTAGGTTAGGTTAGGTTAGGTTAGTTTAGGTTAGTTTGGGTTAGGTTAGGTTGGTACCTTGGTTAGAATTTTAATATGGAATAAAAATACGGTTCACCGTGGCACTTTAACAGTCATTGTACGAAGCAGGGCGATCCATTGGCTTTAGCGTTTAATACGTGATGGCTCTGAATAATGCAGAGGTTGATCGGCCTGGACTCAGAATTTGTCACAGTGGCCATTCTCTCAACAAGCAATGAGTTTCTTGAGCTCGGCTGTCCCTCTGGCGGGAGAAACAACAGAACAGCCACAGAGGTTCTCAAACTGTGGTACCGCTACCCCTTGGGGCACCAGAGATGATTTCCTGGGGTTAACGAACCCTCATTCACGAGGTTTGATCAGTCCTGCGTCACAGACCACTCAAAAATTAATTGAGACCGTAGGTTTTGAGCAAAGACGATTCCATTTTCTTTAGTATGGGGTTCGAGACTTTTTATTAGCTTGTTTTACGTCAAGTTAGACGAGTACTCAAGTCGTGAATTTAGTATGCTAAATCGACATAAATTCGTAATCTGAAATACGCCAAGGAATTAAAATTAACAATAATTTTCCGACGACCCAATGAAATTCGTAATTGTCTGCTGAATCATCTGTTGTCGAAACTGTACCACCGCCTGTAATTTGCATGGGACCGATGAAAGGTCAAGATGTGGTCACTGAGAGAAAGATACGTGGCGTATTATTCGACAATACGTTTAACATTTTCTGTGTGTATCTCACACGAAGGGCAAATCGGAATGGACACCAAAATGTGGACTGCAAAATTCGAAGAAAAAAAAAATGCGTTGTGTTTCGGTTCGTAAAGCACGAACATTCCAGAGGAATTATATTTCACGTTATCACCGGATTATTTGTGTTGCATTGGCGAGGCTAGAAGTCAGAGGAAACCTGGTATTTATTTCATTTGTCCAAGATTTATTGTTCAGTGGCATTCCACTTCGAATTGGACTGTGAAGAGACTGTTTTACTTGTAGAAAAGACATTTTAAGAAGCGTTTTTCATCTTCACGACACACGACTTTCCTCTGCAATGAATAATTAGGCTAGAATCCCCGAGGTTCAAGTCCGCGAGTCTCCTAAAGGAAAACGCGCGTTCATTGAAAATTTTCCGTAGTTAAGTTGGCAGCGCGTTTGCCTATTGCGGTCGGGGTTCATTCCTAGTGAGTTAATTTTTCAATGGCTTTGAAGGTGCTCTATTTATTTCTGTAGTCGCACTTGAAGGCAACTGCATACGCGCTCCGTGAGCCACCAACTACGAGACGGGATACCAACTGGACCAACGCCACTTGCATCTCAGATCGATACACCTCAGCATCGCGTGCTCTGGGCAGAAGCAATTCTGTGGCACAGCTGCGAGCGGTAACTAAGAAACCAACACTCGAGCGATGGACAGAATGACTGACAAATTCAACTCTTTTAGTACAGGGACTCCCTCGAACAGCGCTCACGAGTGACTTTTGCCGTCGGCTTGTGCGTGCGAAACGTCCGCGTCATCTGCCGAGGAAAATCTGTTTTGAATCTCTACATATTTCAGTATTTATAACAACGACTGCCAAAGAAATCGACAAAACCTCGTGCCTCACACAAAAAGTAGAAAAGATTGTTCTTTGTTTCCCGATTTCAAGGCAATTGATTTCTTGACAAACAAAACCTGCGTCACGAATGGGACTGTGACCTCCCGATCACTCTGTACGACAATCTCGCTTCCTTGCCTGTCCTTAAAGACTGCAGCAGACGAGTGCAAAGGCCAAATTAGTAAATCACCCGTGAGTGTGACAGAATCATCAGCAGCGAAGGGAAAAGGGGTCGGAAGTATTTCAAGATTAATTTAAATTGGGTCTTTCGTAAAACTGCGATGACCTCAAGAGCCACTTTTGTAACAAGCCACACGAATTCTTCCGCAAATGACGCAGGAACGTCCCAGTATTGAAGAAAAGAACTTGAGGCGATGTGACGTGAAAGCGTTGGCAGCCATTTTGCGTCGAAAATGCTGAAGTGATTGGAGCGAGGCTGCGATGAAGATGAAGCCTGTAGCCACAGGAATGGCGAAGCGAGCGACGAGGCTGTTCGTCGCAGATTCACAGACGAGGCAACAAACATTACGACAGAAGTGCCTTGTTGTTTGTCATAAACGAAACAAATGTGGAAGTTCTGTTCTGCCAACAGCGGGGAAGCCATTTTTAGAGTTACTGTCTACATCATCGGAGACATTAACCTGGATTGAGCTCGATGTGCTGCAAAGCAAAACGAGTTCTGCCAGAGAAAGGCCTCTGGCTGAAATTATTTCTTATAATGCGCCAAAGACAAATTCCCTCCAGCGAAATAAATCACTTTCACCTACAGGGAAGCGGACAGAATAATTTCAGACAATACAAAACAAAAACGAAACGTGGGGCGAAAAGAGAAAAGGCGAGTCACGTTACGACACCACAGAAGAAATAAAAGGTGATTAAAGCGGAGGCGCCGAGAGATGGCGTTGCAAGCGTCGATCTGCAAAACAGCGCCATCCAGACTGGGATTTGGTGGTCTTCCCGGCGCTGGTTGGCATTACAAAACGTGAAACCACATTCAGTTCTTACCTAAAGCTTAGTCGTGATGTGGCACGACCAGGGGATGGGATGTGACCTCAAGGCCGACACCCCGAAAACAGAACGCAGTTCTGGAATGTCAAGAAGGTTGCATAATACACAATCTGAGAGCCGATAATTTACACATGTAAGCCACGGATAGAAGTAATTCTGCCCTTTGCAGGACCCAAAACACTAATCAAAGCTGAGGAAGAAGTCGGCCTATTAAAGACGCCAAACACGTCCGTCCATCGCAGAGGCGAACCTATCGCTGGGAAACAGGGAGCACCAATCATTAATTAAAATAAATGTTAAGTCTTGCGCTAATTTATTTTACGGCAATCCGTTTCTTATGTGCATCTGTCAAAAATGAATTTTGGTTGACACAATTTTACTATATAAACCAGATTTATTCGAAATCTGCTAAGCTTACTTGCTTACTCCTTGGTGCCGAGTCCTTCCAGAGAAGCTGACAGTCGCTCAGCCACTCAAGAAATTCCCAAAAATTTTATGGAACCAGAAGGTTCATTACCGTGCTCACAAGAGCCCGCCACTGGTCCCTATCCTGAGCCAGATGAATCCAGCCCATACCACCCCATCCTATTCCTCAAAATCCATTTTAATATTATCCTCCCATCCAAGTCTAGGTCTTCCTAGTGATCTCTTTTATTCTCTCCCATGCGGGCTACGTGCCCTGCCCATCTCATCAGCCTTGACTTAATCAATCTAATTATATACGAAGCTCCTCATTATCCAGATATTCTCCTCAGCGCCCTGGTCTCTGAACACTCTCGGTCTAAGTTCCTCCCTTTCCGTCGCTCCCAAATATCTGAACTTTGCCACATTTTCGGAGAACGCATTAGCTACCTTCATGTTACTATTCTGCCCCGGAGTCTGGTGACGAGACGTCAACATATACACTTAGCTTCCGCGGCGTCCACTTCTACACCCCCTCGCCCCCCTTTACCGGCGTCAATTAGAGCTTCTGTGAGCAGCTGCTGAAATAACACGTGCG